GAATAATAAACATAGTTTATTGGTTTTAAATTGAAAAAAAAATTGAGGTAAACTTTGTGTCAGACAGGTTTATTTATTCAAACAGCATTTTTTCTTCTTTTTTTTTTTTCTGGAACCCGGTGCAACACAGCTGTGTCCAGGTTGAAATGATGACCAAAAAAACTAAAAAGTGCAATAATACTTGGGTAACCAATAAGGCTAAACCCCATCATAAACTGGAAGATCTTAGAGCCCCTGAGAGTAAAAATAAAAAGAATAAATTAACACATTTAACTTTGTTGATCTCACAATGGAGAAATTAACTCTCTGCGTTTAACCCATCCCCTTTGGGGAGCAGTGGGCTGCCACTGTGCAGCGGTTGGGGAGCAATCAGGGGTTAAGGGTCTTCCTCAAAGAGCCAGAGTGGCAGTCTGTGGGAGTGTGTTTCGAACTCACAACCTCAGGATTCCAAGCCCTAACTGCCGCTCCCCTGCCAGTAAAACCAGATTTTTATTGACTTGAAATCATTGACCACTAGCTCAATTGAAAGCTTCCATTTCCCATCTAAATGGCTAAAATATCGAATTGAGAAAGGATTTATGCTAAAAATAAATAAATAAATAAAAATTAACAAAAGAGCAGGAATGAACACCTTGACAAAAAGAATATGTGCCTTAGCAAACCTTGAATATTCACAGAGCTCCCAGGGGAATATTTCAGCTTAACAGGCTGCTACACTAAGAGAAGTCACCGTTATGCTCATACAAACATTTTTTTTTGCCTGATTTCCGGAATAACATCCCTTTGACTGAGATCTAAGCTTCCTCCCCAGCTCATTTCAGCACAGTTAATGCTGAAATGTTTATAATTTCATTGGAAATATGCTGATACCCTCACTATTGACTGTAACAGAATAGAAAATAGAATGGAAAAATAGAGAATCCCTATATTGTCCCACAATGGGGAAATTGTGGTGTTACAGCAGCATTACAGCAAAAGTGGTCGCACAAATGTGGACCTTAAAAGTGTATAAAAACAACAAAATAAGTGGCAGAGTTAAACAAGAAATAAAACAAACAACTGAAAAACTGTGCTGTATAGTGTTTTTACAAATACAAATACTGTGCAGTTGGCCAAAGAATAAATAATCAATAAACAGCTGTGGACATTTTTACAGTAATGGATATTTGAAAACACCAGAGATGTGCAAAATGACAGCAACATGTTATTTAACCAACTAAGACAGAAACTGTGCAAAAATCTGCATAGTGTAGCAACTTATTGATGTTATTGGCAACAGTGGTTATAAAGTCTTCCAGCTGCTGGGAGGAAGGATCTGTGATAATGCTCCCTGGTGCATTTAGGGTGCAGCAGTCTGTCACTGAATGAGCTTTCCAGTTCAGCAACAGCATCATGCATGAGGTGGGAGACATTATCCAACAGAGATGTTATTTTACTTAGGGGTCTTTTTGTTTCCCCAACTCCTGCACTGAGTCCAGAGGGGATCCAATCACAGAGCTGGCCTTCCTGGTCAACTTATCCGGCCACAGAAGCATTGTTTTTAAACTTATTTGTATCCTTTGCACATGTACATGAAGGGAAGGCCAGTGAAGAAGTGAAGCCAGCCCCTTTAAGACTGTTAAAGCTACAGCCCCAGCAGCAGGGAGAAAGCTTTAAAAAAAACAATAACCCATGACATAATCTCAAATGTCAAGCATGGTGGTGGGATTCTGGTGATAAAGGGGTATAACAGTCACTTCAAATGTTTAAATAATGAAGTTATTTTTTCAAATATTTCTAATCAAACCAGGGTAAAAAAAAAAATAAAAATAAAAAGTTAAGATGTGTTGTTAATTATCTGACTAGAGCTATATGCATTATGGATTCACACTATTCTGACAGCAGGTAGACCAAGCAGCAACCTTATGTGAAAAAACCTAAAATTTGGAAAAAGAAAAAATTGTTACTGGTTCATTTTATTTAATATATTCAATTAAAAAAAATTTTTTTTGGGATATTTACATAAAATACTTTTTAACTTCTATATAAGCTATGTTTTTTTATTCATTTTCAACTGTTCCCTTAGCTTTGCAGGTTCTTTCTCTTTTGGCTTTTGTTCGGCTGTATTTCTGCTCCACATTGCGCAAAGCTGCCACAAATCAGAAGGCCCAGCTTGTTTGTAACTCAGTGAATCAGTACACCATCTCTGGAGATAAATGCAGTCTTTAATTATCAGCGATCAAAGAGCCGTGCAGCAGCTTGTGCTGGCACTCTAGGATTCCCATCAACAGATACTTTTCTACTCTTTTTTTTTTTTTTTTTTTAAAGAAGCTGCCATAGCATTTCTGTCTCCTATCCAGGCGTCAGTTTTGATCAGTAGTGTAATGAAGTGCTGCACCATCAGACTGACTCACATGTGCTTATCTAAAGTAGTGACTATGACTCACAAAGCATCTGCACCAACAGCCACACCCCAGGGTGTATGCATGTACTGTAGAGAGCCACACGTTTGGCAAATTTATTTGAAGCAGTCATCATCCAGATAATATTTATAAGGATTTCTAACACAGCAAAGAATATATGAATGGGTTAGATAAGCAAATCTAAGGGAAACTGACTGCTCTGATGTAGGAATTCAAATCTGACTGTTAGAAGTTTGGAAAGAAAAATATATTGATGATGAATACTCAAGATTAAAGAAAAGATTCAAGCTCTACACCCTATAGAGTGGTACATATAGAAGGGAAAAAAACATGCAAAGGCATAAATTGAAAAACACCAAAAGAAGATGAGAGTTTGCAAAAAAAAAAAGAAAACTGAATGCAAATGAAATGTGAAAAAGAAATTGAAAGAAGAGCAGCAAGAAAGATGGAAGGAAAATTACTTTTGACACAACTGGGGGATGAAAAAGATGGATGAATTATCACTTTTACATCTTTGGCGTTGTATAAGGGTGTCTGCGAGGTATCAGTTGGGCTGTTTGTCTCTGAAAATATCCATACAAGTTCAGTCAGATTTCTGCCACTGAGAGAAAGCTGCAAGCGGATTTCCAGACTGTCAAAGCTCATTCGGTGATAAAGCTGGGAAGTTATTATTTTCACAGAAGGCATCTTTTAAGCAAGAAACTTTTCAGAGAAAGCTGGTAGAATCTAAAACCCAACTATGATCCCTTTCTCTGTTTTTATGTCAATCTTCTCTTGGTCTTTCCTTTCTTCTGTCAATCCCCTTTTCCATTTGCTTTAAAGTCCACTCATCCTTCTTTCTTCTCACTTTTATCCAAAGTACGAGCAGTTTCCCCAAGTCCCGCTGGAGCATGCTAAACAAGGCCCAGAGGTCCAAACAAGAAAACGGTTGAAGAGGACAAACCAGAAGCGATCCATAATAGATTTTCTTCTCACTTTCAGTTCTTTTCTCTGGGGAGATGCAGTTGAGGCATCACTGACTAAAAATGAGAGACTTAAAATGTGGAGTCAGATGAGAAAAGATGTCAGGGATACCAACAAGCAGAGACTTGGGAAGGTTAACAGAGACCTGAGGCAATGAAAATGGTTTTCATTTGTTTAAAGAAAGCTTACAATTTTTATGACTAAGTCTGTGGAAAAAAGGGATATGAATGAAGTGTATATTCCTAATGGTGTTATAACTGATCAGACATTATAGATAAATGTAGCAGCTTCCCTGTATCTCCACTAAGATAAGTGGGTGTAGATAACAGACTGATTAATGGTTTGGTACATTTTCTGAGGTGAATCAAGGTAGGGTTTTTCATGTCATATTTCTTTTATTTTATTAAGCAAAACTGGTTTTTGGTTGTTCCATTCTATATTAATTTGTGTTAATTTTTTGCCCCAGTGATTACTACTAGTTGTAATGAAAGGCAAATGGAGTTGACTTTTTTTTTAAAAAGGCCTTATTGTTATGGTTCCCTGCTTTTGGAAGTCTTTATGAGTTTATGTCATTCTGTTTTGTTGGTTATTGGTTTCTTTATATTTAAGCTGTGTTGCGTTTTGTGAGTGACACTCTGTTGCCCTCTTGTGCCCATCTCCTTTACCCTAGCTCCCTTCTACCTACTTCTTTCCACACTTGCTCCATATCAGCTGATTAGCTTAGTCTTTGTTCTGTCTCCCATATATACACTTCCTGTTCAGTTCCTCATTGCTTGTCTCTCATTGTTACTTTGCCCCTCATGTGTGTATTCCCTGGCATCTCATGGTTTTTATTTTCTGTATTTTGTTCCTGGATTTGTGTTTCTCTGCCGCCTTCGTCAAATCAGCCAACTCATATCTGCCTCCTTATCTCTGCATTTGGGTCCTCAACCAACCTCCACCCTACCTTGACACTTACCTTTTTATTCCCCCCAAAAAACAGTTTCCAAGCATCATTAATGCTTTCCAAGGGGAACTCTTCACTTGCATTATGGAGGATGTGTTTTTTAACATTTATACATAGAGATTATTTCCATTCGACATCTACGCTTTGCATCTATACGGGCTACATCCAAGAACAAAGTATATAGAGATTGGTCAAATACACATACCTATACAGCGGTAGAAGCTATTTTACTTAACTGTGGCAAGCATGGATTTCCACATAACCTTTTTAAACTTTCCCATTTTGGTTACATACTGCAAGGAACACAGAAAAGAAGCAAAACATGCCTGTTAAGTCCTGGTTGAAAACTGACACTGCTAACTGAGCCAGAGAATGCTGGGTCACAAATGTATTAGTGTTCTCAACCAAGTGTCAGCTTTGGAAAAAAAAAAAAAAATAAATCATGTGAATCACCCTGAATAATGTCACAGAGTCAGGGTGATATTAGTCATCAAACAATTTGTTCCAAATGCACGCATAGTACTATTTTTTTTTGCTTTTACTCTCTTTTCATGATACACCTTCAGTTTTGACTCTGAATGATAGCAAAGGATGCAGTCAAGTCGATATAGCATAATGCAAACATCAGCTCATCGTTTGTCAAGGCTGGAACCACACAGAACCACATGTGATAAACTCTGATGGTTTACCTTGTCCGCAGGTTCCCGGGGCTGGGTGGCCCATCATAAACAGACAGGATGTCAAAATCCTCCTCCAGGGCAAAACCTTGAAATACCAGCTGTATCCGGTTATGATCCGCTCCCACGATCACCCATGTACAGTTGGCATAGTTTGGATAACCGTAAGGGTATCCAGGACTCTCTATTGTCCCATTAGGACTGTGAAGAGTGTAACTGCAATTCTGAGCTGCAGAGAGAAGAAGAAACCACAAACAAACAAGTCGTTATAAAAAGATATAAGAACAGGTAGAGTGTAAATGTAGTTTTTCTTCTTTCATAACTACCCCAACATTCTGTCAACAAAGTAAATGTTCAGACAAAGCGCTGCAACATCTATTATTGCCTGTGGTTTGTAGCATAAGCTATTAATATTGTGCTAAATGTCTGCTCTCCTTTCCTTACCTTTTTTAACACCTCCATCATCACATACATGTTCACTCACTTAGCCTGGCACCACAGTAATAATCTGTCCCCCTGTTAATGTGAGATTCAGTAGCTTGGGTGTAGGAGCAAAGCTGAATGAGTGGAGAGAAACACTTAGGTACCTTTTTAATTGATGTCATGTTTTTTTTTTTTTTTTTTTTTTTTTTTTCCAGTAGGTTGTTCAGCATCAAATTTTAATTGTGCATATTGCCATCAATTAGAAAGGTGGATATGCAAAAACTGGGTTCTGTATCTGTGTTTCCCATCTCAATGGATTTAGCTGCTGGAGGAAATGATGTTTTACAGAGCAAATTGTATTTTATTCAGCTGACTGTGCTGTGTACAGTATGCTTTACTTTGTGGGGGACTAGAGAATGAGGGTGCTAGATATTACTCTCTCTCTAATGTTGCAGTGGTTTGATATGTTATCTCCAAAAGCAGATTGAGCAAAAATATAAAAAAAATGTAATTTAAATCTCTTCAGTAGCAAACATGAGCAGTCAGCTGTCTGAGTGTGACTGACAAGTACTGTGGAGAGAGGATAAAATCTTATTTGATGAGAATGGCAGCAGGACTTGTGTTCTCAAACATGCTGAAGAAAATCTGCCTGTGCCAACAAACATCCTCATGTGAGTTATATACACACAATATTTATTATAAATACAATCAAAATACATGCAAAAGCTAAATATGAAAATATATTTAGATTAACGTTACATGTGTAATTTATTGCTTATGTCTGAAAAGGGATATAAAGAAATGAAATCCTTATAGCCCATAAGACCAAGTGTTCATGATTCCTACTTTACTTATGACTCCATACTACTTCAAAGTGTGCAACTAGAATTTATATATATTTATATTATGTTATTTACATATAACATCAGTACAAACTCTCACAATAGTTTATACGCATTTTAATCAATCCGATTATAACCACTAGCCCATACTGATAGCTTTTTTATTTATTTGAGTGGCTCTGATGTTTAGCATCAATGTCAGAAACATGAAACTCTCCCTGTAACCATAGCGACGCCGTCTTTGCAAATGTACTCACACCCTTTAAGAGTTTAATAATGTATAACTTTTAATCTTTAACCAAATAAACATCTGTGATAATTAGTGAATTAACAGCATAATCGCAATGAAACACAACAGACATGTCAGGGATAAATCAACTAAACAGTTAGTTAATTTAACTGAAAACAACATTATAAGCTTTGAGCAGCATACATTTACCTGTATTCTAGATTTGAAAAAACTCAGAATTAGCATTTGAAACACACAAAGAACCGGACAGAGGCGCTAGGATCCAAGAGGAAAAAAATACAAACCATAACACAAAATGTCTAAGATTTCAACATCAAAAGAATGAAAACTAAAGAGTTTATATACAGGGAAAGAGAAAAGAGAATGGCAGGGCAATCAGGTAAGAATTAGAAGCAGCTGTTGTGAAAATGCATGAAAGCTTGTTGGTGCTGATTAGAGCACTGGTCTTCAATGTTTTGCAGGCCAAGGACCCCCAAACTGATGGTGAGATGGAGCGGGGACCCCCTAATTATATATATATTGTACGAAATTGTGTTATATCAAACTGGTCCTATAGTCACTCTATTACAGATAGTGTCATGTAACTAAAGTCATTTTTCCCTGGGATTATTAAAATATTTCTGATTCAGATTCAGATTTGTTGTTGACGGGACAGGTGTTGTGAATGAAACGGTGCCCAGCTTGAAAGAGTTCCTGTGTGTCACTGAATGTGTGCATTGATGACTGAAAGACATCCTCTGCTTCCATTTATCTGTTTAGTACATCGTGTAGAATTCATGTTAATATGTAATTAAAGACATTTCAATTATCAAAAAATTGCAAGGGGGAATATAAAATAAATTATCAACCACAACTTTGCAACCCCCATGCAGTACCTCTGTGTACCCCCTAGGGGTCGCGGACCCCCTGTTGAAGACTTCTGGATTAGAGGATTGATATAGCAAAATATCTAGCAATTATGCAAAAAAAAAAAACTTTTGGAGGCTGCAAAAGACTTAAGATTGGTTGCATGTGTTCACATTTAAGTAAGACAACCCTGATAATCAAACAATTAAAGGTATATCAAAATATATTAACATAAGGATTGTACAGCCTATACCTTGATTTGGCTAAGAATATGCAAAAAGAAAAAAAATTTGAAACCTTATTTTCTGAAATGCCAATCCTACTAATCTAGAGGTTTTCGAGTGAATGCCAAATGCATCTCTATAGGGTACAAAGCTATATAGACATGCTTTTAAACTTCTTTACCTATCTGATAAAAGATGGCTCAATACAGTCACGTAGAACCTTAAATACACAACATTCATGCCATGATCTGGCAGTGAAAAAGTGTGACAACTTTAAAGCAGTATAAGCAATTATCAAGGCACGCTTTATTGATTGCTAAGCCACCATTTAGGCATTTATTCCATATCTTTAAACATTTTGCCAGAAATTATTGCTGTAACATTTTTCATCTTTGTTCTCTACTGTTGCCCAATGTGAGCAACAGTATTTGTTGTCCACAACTTTGCATATTTATTTCTATAATTGTTTTGCTGCTGTAAAGACCAGAATTTCCCCATTGTGGGACAATAAAGGGATTTTGTATTCTATTCAATTCTATTCTATTCTAATCTCTACAGATTTTCAAAGGGATGTAAAGGAATGTGCTAAAACATAATGAAAATAAGCAAAAGCGATAAAGTAGGCCAGCAAATTGAAAGAGTTCATAGAATAAACATAGAATAAAACATATATAGCTCTCAGATATGTCGATCTGAGACTCTGGGAAAAGAAATACATATCCGCCTGATTTATTTCCTGTGAAATGTCGGGGATCTGCTTCACTTTGTTCACAGTCTCTAATGGTTAGGTCAATCCCTAAAGCTCTGAAGTCATTCAGACTTTCTTTCTGAAATGTGTTTCATGTCTGAGAAACCTGCATGGATTACTGGGTAATCAGAAAACAACCATGTAAACAGGATGAGAAGAGAAAGGAATCTTCTGAGTATAATCTAAAACTGAAACACTACTTTGTGTAGAAGAAAACATAAAATGTGAAAACAGGACCAATGAATTAATCATGGACATGGTTAATCCCTGGTTAGCCACATAAGTAAAAATGGGATTTGTTGTCATTGCTTTAATCAAGGCTTTTATGATTTCAGGGACCATGAGCCTTTAGTGAAGTCTGACTTGCAGAGTGAAAACATCCACACACAAATATAGGAAAACTTGCTTATAAACAAAAACAATATTTAACTCTTGGTTGCGGGTAAACAGAAAAATATTTACAAATATAAACTTTGGGGATGATAAAGAGTGGATGTGCTTTCAGGGTGGCATCACAAGTAGCAGCATAAGGATAATATCATCTCAAGTCAGAGTATATCCATCATTGCATTGTTGACTCCTGGGGGTCTGTCTCAGCAAAAACTAAATGGAAAAGTCAACAGTAGCCTCTCAGCCATCACTTTCCAGATCATCATATCTGCTTGACCTCCTCCAAAAGATGCTAATGCGTGAGTGCTTGAACTATGACAACTTGAATATATTTAGGCAGCATGATTCATTGTTGGAAACAAAGAGGTAAATGTGAAGCCGTATAAAAGCTTCAGACTTACTGACTCCTCTAAAGCAAGTAAAAGAATTAAACACTGCAGCACTTACACTGCCTCTACCTTATTTATATTCTCAGTAGTAATTTCTAATCAGTAATGAAAGAAAAGAACAAAAGAAGTTCTAATCGAGAGCAATCTCCATCTGATTTTTCATTAAAGACGCTGAATTGGCTCTGCAAGCTGGTATCCACCCAGCAATTACAATAAGGTCAATACCAATATCCAGGTAAAGCCCCACATCCACCTCTCACGGCTGATTTTCATAAACGCAGGCAGGTCAATAATCTCCTCATCATCTCTTTCATTACAAAGTCTCTGTCAGACAAATGCCAATCAATGGCCTAACAACAGCCTTGTGGTTAGGACTGATGGGGGTCAGAGTTGACTGTGAAGCTTTGCACATGGCTGATGAGTAAGGTTGAGTCTATTGGGGAAGGCTACAGAAAACTCCTAAAAATGTCACATAAACTTAGTAGGTTTTAATAAGTTTCAAGATTTAATTGAAAAATGAACAATTCAATAGCCTAAAGATAGCTCCTGATGTCCAAAGGGGGAAAAAAAACAAAGAGAAATTATGTTGAAGATGGATTAAAGCATAATTTTATAAAGCCACAAACCTCAGTGTATCTTAATGTATTTAGAAATGAATCCAAAAGTAAAAAAGTGTTTGTGTATCAATTAAAGCCTGAGAATGCAAAATCTTATGCATACTAAACTGTAATTTGACTATGCCATTAAGTACACCCTTAATAGAAATTAATTCCATAAATTCTCTTTCAAATTCAAAAATATACAGTATATTGTGTTTATCCCATCACTGAAAATGCATAAAATAAATCAAAGTGTTGTATTTCTAAAGTGTGAAAACAGTTGTAAATGCGGGTATAAATTGTATTAACGGGTAAAAATGGGCATAAATAAGAAGAAGCAACTGAAGAGACTGAATCAATATATGGTATCAGCCCCAGATTCCTGAAGGCCTGTTCAGTGCAGCTCTGTGGGATTCTACAGCACCTCTTTAGCCTTAATTCTGACTCAAGGGACAGCCTTGGTGATGTGGAAGACCTCCTCCCTTGTTCCAGTTTAAAAAAAAAAAAACAGCCAATAG